ACGCTGAGCTTGTAATGTCGAAGCAGGCCGTACGTATAGGACGCAGAGTGTCAAACTCCTGCATAAATATACATAGGCCGCGCCATAGCTCAAGCGGTTAGTTGCTGCCTTCCCAACCGCGGCAGCCTGGGTTCGATCCCGGGTCTGGTCAAGTGGGATTTGTGGCGGACAAAGTGGCGCTGGGGCAGGTTTTCTCCAAATACTTCGGTTTCCCCTGCCAATCTTCAGTCCACCAATTGCTCCACAATCACCCTCACCTATCATCTGGGGCTGGTACAATAGACCAGAAGTGGCCGCAGTACAAGGGACTTAGTCCCACCCCACTAGCATTAAAAAGAATTAAGCCTTTATCTTTCTATGACACAAATTCTTAAAACTATCAGTAGTTCATACATAACGGAGCTCCTGACTATGACGGAGAACAACTTTATCTGAAGGGCCGCAGGCAGTAGATGCCGTCTTCTTTGACATTCAAATGGAGATAGATCACCCGAAACGTCATAATCTATATTTTTTTTTTCACCATGACAATGTAAAAAATAAATGATCACACGAAAACATATAGCGCGGTATTTCAATGTTCGGGGAATAACACAACAGAGACATGACTTGGTCTTTTGGGAAAGAGGGCGCGCTACGTAAAAATATGACATATATAATGTAAATGTTATGTGGATCGTTACTTCATTGTTTTGTAAACGTCATAGCAATATACAGTAACCTGCTAGGAGGAGGTGCTGACACGCGTAGTCACAAATGATTTCCACAACAACATTTAGACAAGCAGCACAATCAGTCAATTGGCTAATTAGCTGGTAGTTACTAAGTTAGTCAGCTAGTTTCTCAATCATCGAATCATTCGGTCGGTTCGTATGTTACTTTGTAATTGAGTTAGTCAATTAGTAAGCTAGTCAGTTGTGTAAAGCGTCAGTTACTCTGTTGGCTAGTTCGCCAGCGAATTCGTTAGTAAATTAGTAAATAATTTACATATCCAATCGTTTAGTTTATTAGCAAGTTGGCTAGTGAGTCAGCTAGTTAATGAGTGAGTTAATGGAATTATTACTCCCTTACTTAATTATTAAGTTAACTGCTTTTTGAATTAGTTTACTAGTTAGTATGATAATTATCCCTACAGTCATTATTTTGGTAAATTAGTTAATCCTTTAGTTATTTCCTTTTTAGTTTCTTGGGGTGTCGTGAAACTGACTCCATTTGATACGTCAACCACTAATTTGCCTATTGTAGCAGACCCGGATGATAGATGATGATGAATGTGGAGCAATCGGTGGAATAAGAATTGGCAGGGGAAACCGAAGTACTTTGAGAAAACCTACCCCAATGTCACTTTGTCCACCACAAACCCCACATGACCTGACATGAGCTCGAACCCGGGCCGCCGAGGTGAGAAGTCGGCGACTAACCGCCCGAGCTATGGCACGGTCAATAATCCTTTAGTTATTAAGTTAATATACTGCTTATACATTTAGTTAATTAGTTGATTATTTAGGGTCTGTCAGCTCCTTAGTTAATCACTAAACCTATCAGTTACTTCGTTTCTTGTCACGGCACTGTAACTATTCCCAGGGCGGCTACAGCGAACCTGTCCCACAGTACCACCCAGCTGGCGCCAAGGTGACGGCTAAGCGTCAGTCCACTGAGACTCCCAACAAGGAAGAGCAGCGCGTCAAAAGACAGAAGAATAGCGACGCCCCACGTCTTGTGTTCGACGTTGCAACAGGCCAAGTGGTCGACGAAGAGACGGGCCAAGTGTTCCTGCTGCAGCCTGTCAACTAGATAACCCGCCTCCTTCGTTAAGGGACACAGACTTGCTGGTTTAGAGCCCTGCTGCGATCTTTATTATTATACAAGGAGATCAGTTTATCACTAAGCGATATATAGACGTTGGCTCTACCGCTCTGCGGGAAGTCCATTGGGTTTACGGTGCTCGGACCGCAGGTGAACAGAACATCCTTTATAATTCACGAAATTCAAATCCATAATAACCACATTCGTAGCTTAATTACAATGTATCAAAATTAATTGCATATAACCGTATCTAAACATCAGGGATAACTCGTTTAATATATTTATTGCACACTGGCTGGAAGACCGGGATTCAACTCCTGGCAGGAGCAGGGGTTTTTATCTTGACAACCAATTCCAGATCTTTCTATCCTCTCAGCCTCACAACCACTGGGTAGCATATGGCTGGAGAATGGAGCTGAGATGTTTTAAGCTTTATCTCCACTTCCACCGTACTCCTTCATGTGGTTTGCAAAAAGGAAAAGTTTAATATTACATGTTTATGTATGTGCAAGGGTCGCAGCAGGTCTAATGAGAATCTGGCAAGTCTTAGTAACTGATTTTCACGTCAGGTCCGAATGTGTACATGAAATTAAAATGCAGTTTCAGAACTGAGCTCTCATTACATTGAACAAAAGTTCAAGGCTGGTGAGAGATTGCATCAGTAAGAAAATCCGTTACCAAATTCAGACCTGGTTGTGAACTGTGATGCAGCCCACAAAGCGGTCTCATCTTATCAGTTACTAGTGCCCAGTAAAGGGAGATTTAGATGACCTGTCATTAAAAATATATCACCTGAGGAAGCGATGTGATACAGAAAATATAATAGCCACACCACGAGGTGTGACACGCATAGCAACAGCCATTGTAACTGACGAGTCTTTAGTAAGTCATGGGGACATCGATTATTAATCTCTGCTTCTATCACGACAAACAAGTTTTGTCAATCTAGAAAAAGTTGTTTGAAATATGTGATTTTTTCTGTTAACTGTTATTGTATATTTTATATATTTTTATTAGAGTTTGTTACGTTTTTACGACGATATTTTTGTTAATAAATACACATCTTTTCGCTTAATTATTCGATTTATTAATTATGTTTATATATCATTTCCTGTTTTAAGGTTAACTTTCCTTACCTGGTTGGCAATCCAGCTAAAAAAGATTACCATTTTCAGCTCAATTCTGTAATTCATAGAAATACTAGAAAACTGACCGTTCAATTTAACGGTGAATTAAATATTCAAACAGAAATTCTATGTGTTATGGCATATCTGATTCAATACAAAGCAATTTCTTATTAGAACAATTATGCATAGATCTTCGAATGGGATTATTTAGACCTAACAGTGAAGTTTAGAATTTATTACATTAAAGGATCAAGTGATTCAAGCATATCTAGGCTATAACACCGTTGGTTTTAAAAGTAACTTACAGATATTCCACGCTAATTAAAAAAAAAATATATATATGTGGAAAAATACATATGTAACTGATCCTACACATTTATACGAGGGAGAGTCGTTAAATATGCCACAAAGGAATATACAATGTAAAACATGTAACATTCGAACCTGGTAAAAACATTTATTTCTTGACATATCCTTTGCCAACACTGATAAACTTGTCTCATCGCTTAAGCAGTACGTCGAAGCCCACAGCATAGAAGAATGTGGACTATTGTTTTAGCAATTTTCGCACCTGGTCGGATATCATCTGCGACTTTCGAACGTCCTCGAGTGAAATTCTCGACCCAGTTGAGAACCGCTTTAAGCGACAAACACTTCCAACTGTAAACAAGAAACGTTTCTTTATGGATATCCTTTGCATTGAGTCCTTTTGCCCACAAAAGCAAATGCATAACAGAATGCTGCTCTCCGTTAGTACACTCCTCTAGCACGGTCGCCAATTGTCTACTGAAACCAGCCTCTGAACATGCGCATGCGCGTCTGCTACCTCGACTACCATGAAGCTCGATTGTGTTGCTACCTAGTGATACACGTAGAAAAACTATTACGTTCTTTAAAGCGCAGTTGGTTGAGGCACTATGCTACTAGCCGGAAGGTCGCGGGTTCAAGCCCCGATGAGCTCATTGGATTTTTTTAATTAACCTAATCCTTCCAGTCGCACTATGGCTCTGGGGTCGACTCAGCCTCTAACAGAAATGAGTATCAGGAATTAATTAAACAATTTTCCTGGGGAGTAAAGGGAGTCCGGCGCGTAAGGGGCAAGCTGCCGAGACAAAACACCCTGGAAAGTCATACATTTATGAAAATGGGCGACAATCCGTGTGAGGTGAAATAATATACACCAAAATAACGTGGGTATAACAGAAACTTTAAAGGATTTTATCCGATTTTACCTTGAAAAGAGGACTACAGCGTGTGATATTAACACGAACTAAGCAATTTAATAAAAATATTTGTAACATATCAAGACACCTGAAGATGGCCGTTTGCGGCCGAAACATATAGTGTCAAGGTATATAAAGTTAAACTAAAACTGAGTGATGAATGGAAGAGCGTTTCAATATTGACGAACGATAAATACTGGACGTTAAGTTGAACAATTGCAACGGCGAGTTCTTACTATAGATGACTGCTTCTATGAGGGCAATGGGTTGCAGTAACTAACACTGCAGTGACAATTAATTAAAATTAGTTCATACAAAGCGACTCTATGACATCTATATGGGCAGACGGAAGGGTAGAAAGTTGTTCATGCATTGATTGAGGAAAATTTCGTGTTGTAAAATTAAAACAAGAAAGAGGGCGAGTTATGGCTTATTCAGCACAGAGAAAAGAAGCTGCAATGTGTCAATGTTCTGCTTAATTTGTCTGCTCTAAGATCGACACCACAAACATCAACAGCGAGTTCTTGCAATTTCGCGAACAATACTCACAGCATCGACTTCTTCTCCTCTCGCTTAACGAGAAGAAACTTACAGTAATACTATAGAACGCGGGTGATGATTGGTTTAACTCTCACCACGTGACAATGTATATATTATACCCGCCATTACGTTTGAATACCGGAATACTAGTCGCGAGAAGGCTCGTTGGCTCAGTCCTACTACGCAATAGTCTGAGTTCTCAGCGTCTGTCGGTAGATGGCATGGCTACTATTCATGGCTTAGCTCCCGCATGTGAAATGCGGGAAAGAGGTAATGAAAGAACCCATGCGATTCGATAACATTTAGAATCGTACTTCACAGGATCATTTCTGTAGTACGCATTCTCACACTTGACTATCAACAGTTGAGTAGATTATTACCACGATGATGAGTGAGAGTAACTTTTCCAGAGCGTGAGGCAGGCAGGTGAGTCTATTTTAGACACATTCTGCAATCGATGATCGTTCAGCTCAGGTTTCGGCTTGGGTGAGGGAGGAGTTACATTCAGAGTGGTATAACTTACAATACTGAGAATCTTTCAATTTAAGAATTTTATTATGCGGCTTATGGTGAATCATTTAATTCAGCTCAATATGTTCTATGATTCTAGTCCTTTCGTTGAATTTAAGAACTTCTTTCGGTTTATTAATTTTATAAAGTCGGTATTACTCCTTTGACGGGGACCCGTGCATGGAGTGCGATTTGAATCCACGATCCCAGAGTTCGAGCCTTAAAGCACACGACAGCTGTTATCCGCAAGTGTACTCCGTCTTTGCAAAGCAATAATATTCCTGGTACTCATTTCTGTTAGAGGCTGACTCGATCCCTGGGCTATAATGCGGCTGGAAGGATTAGATCGATCGAAGAAAAAAATCCAATGACCTCATCGGGACTTGAACCCGCGACCTTCCGGCTTGTAGCATAGTGCCTCAACTAACTACGCTACCGCGTACCCCAATAGAAAACAACGTTTCACTTCCATAATGTAGCTGATCATGCATCAAGGGCAGAGCAATGAGTTTATGATCACGTCTCTGACTTTAAGGGAGGAACATATACTGAGGGTGTTGAGGAGAATATTAGTATTGAAGAGAGATGAAGTGACAGGAGGACCGAGAAAACTGTATAATGAGGAGCTTCATAACTTGTACTCTTCTCCAAGTATAATTAGAATGATCAGGTCGAGGAGGGCGAGAGAGGAGGAATGCATGTAGAATATTGGTGGGAAAGCCGGAAGGAAGGAGACCAGTCGGAAGACCAAGGCATAGGTGGGTGAACAATATTAAAACGGATCTTAGAGACATAAGATAGGATGGTGTGGATTGGATTTTTTTTTTATTGCTAGTTGGGTGGGACTAAGTCCCTTGTACTGCGGCCACGTCTGGCCTATTGTACCAGCCCCAGATGTTAGGTGAGGGTGATTGTGGAGCAATTGGTGGAATGAAGATTGGCAGGGGAAACCGAAGTACTCGGAGAAAACCTTCCCCAGCGCCACTTTGTCCACAACAAATTCCACTTGACCAGACCCCAGGATCGAACCCGGGCGGCCGCGGTGGGAAGCCAGAGACTAACCGCTTGAGGTATGGCGCGGCCTATGGATTGGATTGATCTGTCTCAGGGCAGGGACCGGTGGAGTGCTCTTTTGTACACGATAATAAACCCTCGGGTTCCCAAAATGCTGGGAAGTTCTTGAGTAGCTGCACAATTGGCGGCTTCTCAAGAAGGGTTATCCTGCATGAGTGATAGGTGAGACACTTAGTCTCTCACATAATGTTGCTGATCATGCATCAAGGGCAGAGCAATGAGGTCATTATCACGCACGTAGACTGCGGGAATTTGTACCAGAGAAGAAGTAACAGGAGGCTGGACAAAATTACATAATGAGCTTAGAGTGAAAAACTGAACAAAATACAGTGCAAAGTCGATAATCAGAACCAAGCACTGTGTGCTCGGATTACTGGATTTAAAAAAAAATAAGAATTGTTAGTACAATTATTTATTCGAAAGATTTAGCGTAGACGGTATAGCGACGAGCTACGGGCTGAACGGCTGAGGGGTCGGAGTTCGAATCCCGGTAGGGTCAAGATTTTTCTCTTCTCCACATCGTTCAGACTGGGTTTGGGGTTCACCCAGCCTCCTATCGAATGGGTACCGGGGCTCGTTATCTGGGGGTAAAGCGGCCATGTCGTGAAGCTGACCACTGACCTACAGCTAGTGCCGTGGTCAAGAAAATGTGGATCTATACATCCACTACCCCATAAGCCTTCATGGTGTAGTGCTTAATTAGTTAAGCACAGGAACAACTTTACCTTTACAGGTACTTAGCGCGGGCCAACCGACGACCGAAACCCGAGAATGTGTAACTACATACCGGGCTCGGGGCAAGTCTGTAACCGGGTTACATCTTTCACCACCCAGAGAGGCAGGTCCATTAACACATAATATCATATTTCGCGTGAATTCATTTTTGCTGCAAGGAAAGTGGTCCCTGTGCTCAGTTAATTAAGCAGTGAAGTGGAGGTATAGAATGGCTATTCTTGACCTCGGCACTAGGCGGAGGTGAGTGGTCAAATGATGCCCCACTGGGTGGGCCTCAGAGTAGGTCTGAATGCAGTGGAACAAATAGAATATTTCTTGCCTCTGTCGGGACACGAAATGGCGGACACCCAGCCTGTCGCTATACCGATGAGCTATCCCGGCCCGTCATGAATCCATTTTTACTGAAAGGAAGTAATATATTTAGATTTAATCTGTAATTTTTGGAGTTGATGGTCTGTGGGGTGGGGGTGGGGAGGAAATAGTATAAGTCATTTGGGATAATTGGACATTTCTATTAACGTGGGTTCTGCTTACGGAGGTTCCACTGTATATTAATAAAACACGACTGTCTCTAAGCAATGTGATATCTGGGGTGTCATTACAAATTTTAGGCTTCAATTGTGGATCATTCTAAGCTAAGGAAAAGAGACGTGATCTGGTGCATGGAACATAAGGTTCGCTGGTAACAGTTACAGGGTCTTTGATATTAAGGGAGAAACATAGGCTGAGATTGTCTGAGAACAGGGTGCTGAGGAGAACATTTGGACCGAAGGGGGATGAAGTAAGGGTTTGAGGAAAACTGTATAATGAGGAGCTTCATAACTTGTACTCTTTGCCAAGTATAATTACAACGATCAAGTCAAGGAAGGTGAGATTCGCATGGCATGTAGCACACACGGTGAGAGGAGGAAGGTATGTAGGATTTTGGTGTGAAAGCCAGAAGGAGAAAGACCACTAGGAAGATATAGACATAGCTGGGAGTATAATATTAAGATGGATCTTAGAGAAACAGGATGGGGTGGTATGGAGTGGATTTATATGGCTCAAGATAGGGACCAGTGGAGGGCTCTTGCGAACACGTTATTGAACCTTCGGGTTGGGAAATTCTTGAGTAGCTGATCGAAAGGTGGCTTCTGAAAAAGTATTCAGCTCTAAGGACCTAGTTATTCAATAATGGATCATTGTTGGTATTAAGTTTGCTATTGGGTCTTCAGGCCATATTGATATGGGTAATGTTATGAGAGTTTCAGCTGTATGTAATTTCTCCGAAACGTCGGTAACATTGACCATATCGACATGATGCAAAGACCCAAGAGGAGAACCAACGTCTATATGTATAACGTGGACATAATTTTAACTTTCTGTATGCATTAAAAGAACATTGATTCCAACAGATTATAAAACATTAAAGGAACAATTTCAGGGAAATTTATCCAAGCCTCTTCTATTCGAGTAAATATTTACATTCATGAAGAACACTTACTATATTCTGGTATGTGACACAGTGCAGTCCGGTAGAATATCTACAGACGTTTCGAAAGAACAGCTGTTGCATGCATCTTGCTTGGTTATTTGGTTTATTCTTTGTGCCTGAAGACGGAGACATTATGTTTCTCCGAAACGTCAGCAAACTTCTATACTATGCAGTTTTTCATCTTATAAGATAGCTTTAAACTGCATCGGATGTAAGTAAAGAGCGAAGCTAGTCTTCGGTGAGGTTCCATCACCGCAGAAGTTGGTCAAAGCGGACAGTGAGACTTTAACACCAGCATGGCTCGATATACCGAACACCGTTTGTAGCAACAGAGTGAATCGCGGGAGATGAGATTAGTAACGAAAATCTTGAGAGGCACTCCAACTAAAGATCAGAACTTGGTATTTTCCGCATGCAATCCTTATGCTCACTCACAGAACTATCCTTCTTAGTTAGGTTAGAATCTCTGCCCTTAAGTAGGCAACCCGCAAAGTAGATGCATGAGAGAGTTCCCAGGTATGCTTAACCTCGTACTAGATGGAGGTGAGTGATTAGATTCGCGTCCTGGCTGCCTTATACCTAGCAAAACATCTCCAGGTAACCACTGGATAATAGGCTAGGTGGGGCCCAGGGTTTGTATGGACGCTACGAATAGAAAAATCACTGCCCTTTCAAGGAATCGAACCATGATTCACCGGTGATCCAGCCAGTAACCTAGTCATTTCAGTGACACTGGAACATATATTATTTATCTTAACCCTCTCAGCGATAGATATTTTGTAAGGTAAGGTAAAAAGGTAAAGCTGTCTCTGCGACAGGCCGTGAAGGCCCATAGGGCTGTGAGACGTCGAGGCTCCCACATTTTCTCTAGAGCGTCGGCTCACAGATGGCGGTAAGGTTGTCAGCCTTACTCTCCGGCCGCCCTTTATCCCCCCCCCAAAGATTCATGGTACTCATTTCTGTTAGAGGCTGAGTTGGCCCCAGAGCCACGGTGTGGCTGGAAGGATTAGGTCAATTGAAAAAATCTACCTGATCAGTACTCGAACCCGCGACCTTCCGGCATGTAGCACAGTGTCTCAACCAACTACGCTACCGCGTATTTTGTTAAATGATTAATTAGTACGCCTACAATTTCATGGAAACTTACATCCACTATTGAGATCTGACGAAAGAGGACACCGTGTATATTGCTATACTATTGTAGCTTAAAGATAAAGGCAGATGCTTCTAAAACGTCGGTACTCAACTACCATATTATAGGGCGTCACATCCAGAAAGACAGTAATTTTTCAATGCTCACCGTTTGAAAATTTCAGATTTATAAGGTGAACTAACGAGAGACTGTAAAATACTATCTTCTGGGATATAAACGTGTAATCAGCTGAAAATTAAGGACGTTTCGAAAGAATATGTTGCCTTCAGCTTCAGGGTCAAAGGATAAAGCAAACAAGAAATTAGTAGAGCTCGCCACCGGCTTGCAAGCTAGTTTCTTGTTTGGTCTGTTCTTCGAACTTGAAGATGGAGGCGACATGTACCAACGATACTTCGCTTGAGCTTCAACGGACTACACGACGTTATATCACAGAAGATGGACCTCTTCCTAACCTCCGCTATGAGAATCTTAATCCTATGAGATACTGTAAATACGTGTTTCTTCTGGCTTATGACACAAATTAATGAAAATCACGAAAAAAAAAAAAGAGATTTGGTTTGCGGGCGAT